GGGTTGAAATAATGACAGAGCTGATTATAATTAATATTTTTTTAAGTCTGAAGAGTGAAAGTCCTGCCCAAGTCCCCCAGCTGAGCACAAGCCAAAGTGCTAAATCCCTGCAGGGGTGTGTTTTATTACTGACGCTCTGCGTGTCGAGGCTGGTCGCAGGGTCTGATGCTGTGTGTGTGGAATTTTTGTGGCTATTTTCTATTGTGCCAGTGAAAAGCAGGATCTCATTCGTGTAATGAAAAGGAAACTCAAAGGTTTCCACGCCTATATGGAGATGAATGCTTGCAGCATTGGTGTTTTAATTAAGTGTTTTACCTTCACATGATTTTCACAGAATTGTGGAATATTTTGAATTGGAAGGGACCCACAAGGGTCATCAAGTCCAGCACTTAAGTGAATGGCCCAAATGGGGGTTGAACTCACAACCTTGGTGTTATTAGCAACGTGCTCTAACTTAGCTAATCTCAGTTCCCTATATGATCCCATTGCAAATGACAGAGTAGATGCTACTGGGGTCAGAATATAATGGAATTCTCAATGGCTCTTCCACAAAAAGTTTTGTCTGTTTCTTGGTTAGACTGGTCCGTGGCTGGGTTGTCTTACAGTCTTGTAATTCTTCAATGGGCAGAGTGTGCTGGGTTTCATTGATCCCTGTCTGTTCCTCTTTTAGGAGCAGGGCTATGTGGGGACGATGGGGACTGAGAGGCACTGATTGCTTCTTGATCCTCTCTTGCTCAGCTGGATGATTTCAAATAGATCTTTACATCTCCTCAGGGCTGCATTTTGTCTGCATGCCTGAGGTCACACAGCAGAGTTGAAGGCTGAGCTAGGTATGGAAGCTGCCCTTAGCCCAGCTGTGTACACAGGGTAGTAGTGGGGCAGCTGCCCTTCCCAAATCAGTCCAAAGCCACATACTGCAAGCACTGATCACTTCAGTGGGCGGAGAGACCCTAAGCCCACACCAAATTAATAGGAGGGAAAGTAGTTTCCTATGTGATGCCTTAGACTTAGGACCTTTGACTGGGAATTGTAGTGGTACTGGCTGCAATCCTGCAAGCTTTCCAAGACCAATCAAGCTTTTTGGATGTGAAAATGTGGAGAACCCCCAGAGCCTTGGGGACCTGAGTTGTGTTTGCATCTGTGCAGCCCTTTGTCTCTTAAGGCAAATTTCAACCGGCAGAGCATATGTGGCACTACCCTGAGAGAGGGGCTGCCTGAACACGGTCCCCAGCAGCTTCCAGATGTCCCTCTTCTCTGTCCACCTCACAAAGGAAGGGTGTGTTGTCTCTGCTATAGCTGTCTTTCTCTTGCCACCTTAACAGGTGAGAGGCTACTGGGACACAAGCCCACGAGTGGCACCTCACAGCTTCCCCAGCCAGCTTCAAGCTAGTCTTAGGAAAAGGAGAGATATCTCTACAAGGTGGCTCACTGTCTTCTGTCTCCATGTTTACCAGTAGGAATTCCACCAGGAATATGACTGAACAACACCAGCTTGGTGGCTGTTCCCTCCATTCCAGGATGAGTGTCTCTCCACATCCCATATAGCTGTTGCTGTGTGTACTGCTGCGTGTACTGCTGTTGCTCAACCTCCTATTTTCTGTCCTCTTGGCAATGATGTGGACAAAACCAGCCTATAAATCCGCTCCCTGTGAGCTCCAATGCCTGACCGTGGATCTCCAGTTTGTACTTGTAATACCTGCAACCCCTAAGTGATCTGTCATCTAGGGGTGACACGCTTTGGGCTTTGAACTTGGCATCCCAAAAATACATTCAGCTCTGTTTGACAGAGGTCTGAGGCTTTCTCTGAAACTCTGTTATTGTTTTCACTGGATTTTTTTGACCTTCCAAGTCCTTTTTCTCTTTTTCACTCCCTGAACAGCATGCTCAGCATCTAAAGGACAAAGTTGGCTGGGACATGCAGGCTCTGAGCAGCGTAGGAGCTGCCAGGAGAGAGGAAGGGCAGCTGTGACAGAGCACACGCGGCTACTGCCCTCAGTGAGCCCGTGTGCCCATCACTGTTGAAATAAAAGCACAGCAGGTCTCCAAAGAGTTCTCTCATGGGTCTTGCTGAACTTATAAGCTGGGACCACAGTATAACTTAATTTCCTGAAATGTCAAGTGCCTTATACTGGCTGCCTGCTCTACTGGTGTTTTTCTTACAAACACATTGTACTCCCATTTCCTGCAAAAAGTTCCTATCAGTGATTGATGATTGCCTAATAAGAGAAATCAGTAAGGACATGGAAAGTTCACATCCTGGAGATGAATATAATGATTATAAGCTTTCTTCTGGGTTGCCAGAGGCTTTTTTTGGTTGTGGTTTGATTTATTTGTATTTTTATCCATCCAGCCGAGAACACTGATCTGAAGCTGTATTCTGCAAATGCTGAGCCCATTGGCGAGCTGCAGAAGGCCTTCACCAACCATTAACCTCACTCCAGAAGGAAAGGGTAAAATTTCCTGGAATGATCAAGCTGGGAAAAGGTATAATAAATTGGGAATAGTCACAATTTGGAGGGCATAGATGTCACTCTCATGGTTTTTATTACCTGTCTTCTGATAGACTGTGGGTTTTGTTTGATTTTGCAATAGAAGAGGGCTTGTATAATCGTAGTGTGGGTGTGAGCCCTTTTGAAGGTGACTGTAAGGCTTGCAGGCAAGCCTGAAGGATCCCAAATGGATTTGTTAGTTTTTATATCCCAGTTTCTAGACAAGTCTTTCTGTAACTTCTTAGATGTGATTTCTGAGTCCTCTTGGCTCTTTATTGAAGATCAGTCTTTTATCATTCTTGTGTGAATTAACACTCTTTTAGACCTGGAGATACTGGGTTTATAGGGAACCTAGTAGAAAATAAAAAAAGCTATTTCTTCATGATAATTTTCTTGACTAACTGTAATGCTCCTCTGCCTAGAGCTTTCCCTCTTCAACAGGCTGTGCAGTCTATCAGCTAACTGTATAGGGTAGGTAAGTGATAGGTAAATAAAAGTCCCTGCCATTCGTAGGGCATTTGAACTTCTCCTAAGCCCTTGGTTTTCCCAGTTGGCACCGAGTCTCTGAGGAGACCTGGGAAAAAAGTATGGTGCTGAGCAGGGGGCTACTGAGAGCCACCCACTGGGAAATGTTTGGCAGAGGGACTAACTGGCAATATAGACTGGCTGAACATCTGCCTGAAAGGAAAATCTTCTCTTGTGACTGTTTGCTTTCCAAATGTCTCTTGCAATCTGTGTCCTCTCCCAGCTGTGCTTCACAGTTCTCATCTCTCTTCCTTATACAAGACCTTGGTCTCCAAGGGTCTGATAGAGGAAAGAACTAGACAGTGATTGTAAGGGAGAGCCTTGCTTGATTAGGTGTCAGGAACGTATAGAAAATAATGCATTTTTTATGCCACTCCCTATATTTTAGAGCCTGAGGGCCAATAGCAGAGAAACTGGTCCAGCAAAGATGGAAAAATAATTTTAAAAAAAGGCAGTTTAGTACTAAAATACAATCAGCCCTGGTCTGCCATTGAGGAGTGCACTAGCTTTTTTTTAAAAGGAGCAAATAATATTTTCTCATCACACCGCACACCTAGGCACATTCCTTTGTTCGGCTCCTTCCCATCTCAGTATGTTACATATCCCATATGCAGGGGTAATCATCTGATTACATAGTAATGTCTTGGTTCCCTAAATACTGGAAAATATGAAGGTACTGAGGTAAATAAACCTTGGTATAGGGTACTGCCTGTTGCAGAGAGTGGATTCATTAATTTTTTGTTGTTGGATCCTCGTGTCATCCCTTTGTGTGGATATGTGCAAGCTGCCTGGCTGTAGAAAGCACTAATGTCTAATCACATTCTGCAGAAGGAAATTTGAGATGATTAAAAAAAAAGATTCTCTTTGGTTTTTTGTTTGTTTGTTTGTTTGTTTGTTTTTTGTGGTTTTTTG